AAAAAAAAAAAAAAAGGGAAAATGCTTGATAATGACAAATAAAAAAGCATATAAAATTACATAGTTATCTGCATGTTGTACTTCTATGGTAAGCATGACTTACTCATTTAAGTTTAATAAGTGGAAATTATATGTATAACAAAATCGTACATAAAGACAAAGAGATATACATAGAAAAAGAAGAGAGCACACACCCAAAGATGATGGGTGGTGAGATTATGCATTTTTTTCCTCTCCCAAAATTTTCTAAAGGAGCCCCTGTTAAATTTTATATCCACAAGGATGACTATTTTGGAAAGGGGGAAGGGAGGACTTCATCCCACCGTCCATCAGCCCACTTCCCTGCTGCCTCAAGCCGTCTTCTGTGTTGCCTAATGCTGTAAGCTGACCTCTTTTTGTGCCTGGCTTTCTTCTTCCTAACCGGACTGTGAATCGGCCCTGCAGTTCTTGTCTGCCCCACAGTTCCTGGCGTGGTCCTGGACACTCAGCTGCTCCTCAGACATGCACACGTCCGAGCAGTAGACTGCTTTGCCTGTCCCCACCCCACGCTCACATGCCACCCACCTGCCCGTATCCACTTAATAGTGGGCTTCTCTCGGCCTGTGGCTGAGCAGGGCACCGTGGCCTCCTTGTCAAACTCCATGCACTGCTGCGGCCGGGGTGGTGGTGTGAATTTGAGCTTTTCTGTTTGAGTGGAGGGAGGGTGGGTGGGGTAAAAGAGTAGGAATTGAGGCAGTTAGATGGGCTGGGGCAGGCCTGCATATCCTAGACCCTGCTGCTCCTGCCCCTTTATTCTCCTGCCTGCCAGACAACACCATGCACGCCAGCTCACCCAGCACTTGGACACGGGCTTGGGCCTCGATGCTGCCGGCTGGGGTGCTGCTCATGCAGCGGTACCATGTCCCATCGTACACCTCCACGCTGTTGATGCGCAAGGTCCCGTTCTTGGAGACCTCGAACCGAGAGTCCTGCAGCACAAAGATGTGAGGTCTAGGCCTGAAATCAAATCTTCCTGCCCTACCAAATCTCCCTGGGGCAGACTCAGGGGAAAGAGCGCTAAGGAGGTGAGCATAGAAGAAAGCAGCAGGAGGGGAGTCGGCCCCCCTATCCCAGCAGCAATCCTTCTCACCTCCGAGATGAGCATCTGGTTTCTGTACCAGATGACTGTGGGTTTTGGTGTGCCCTCGGTCAGGCAATGCAAATAACCTGGCTTGCCCTCCTCCAGCTGGCTGTCCTGGGGCTTCTTCAGCCACGTGGGCACAGCTAGAGGGAAGGGAGGAAACAGAAATCTGATTAACATGTTTGCAAAACCAAAGACTCGAATCCCAGTAAATTCTAATACCTCACTGGGCCCTGAGCTCAGAAGCCCCATCTGCTCTTGGTGATAATGGGAGTAATTGCCCCTTGGTGAAGGCCTATGTGCCAGCACTTTTTGAACACTATCTTAGTTCATGGTTTACAAGAAACCCCCAAGGTATATATTCCTATACCCATTTTACAGCTAAGAAGACAGTTCTTCAAAGAAGTAGTGGTGATTTGCTAATGCATGATAGAGACAAAATTCAAACTCTGGTTTGTCTGATTCCAAAACCCTTGCTCTGTTTAGTACAGCACAATGCTCTAAGGCTCAGCACTCGGGTCTCTATTCTGTGCCAGCCACACTCATTCCCTGAATGATCTCTTCTAATTCAAGTGGATGGCTCCCAAACGTGTAGCCTGACTCCTGACCTCCCCCTACTCAAGAGTTTCAGATCTGCAGATCCAGTGGCCTACTGGTATCTCCAGCTGGACAGCCAACAGGCATCTCAAGCTCCATATGTGCAAAAGAGAACACTTGATTTCCCCCAAAATCTGCTCACTTGTTTTCCTACCTCGGTAAATAGCACCACTATCTAGCCAACAGCAGAAACCAAAGCCTAGTCTTGACTTACAGCTCCCTCTATCACGTTCATTCCACACAAACCCTATCTTCTTTAGCTCCAAAATATATACTGAATTTCACCACCTCTCACTTCCACTGCTACCATCTCTGTTCAAGGCCCCTCGACATCTCCCCTTGACAATTACAGTCACCTACTAACTGGCCTCCCTCTTTTGACTCTTGCCCCTAACATTCTAGTCTTGTCAGAACAGCCAGAGTGATCTTTTGAAAATGTCACTCTCCAACTCAGATCCCTACAAGGCCTTCCCATCTGACTTAGCAAGGCAGATTGTTTGCAAAGATGGCTGTAAACATTTCCCCCATTCCTTGCATTTCTTTGTAATGTGATGTCACTTTCTCCCTCAAGAGACAATTTTTCTACTGCCTGAAATCTGGGTGGCCAGATTCTTGACTTGCCCTGTTCAGTAGAACACAGAGGACATGACACTGTGCAACTCCTGAGCCAGCGCCTTGAGAAGCCTTGCAGCTCGCACTTCTGCACACCTGCAGGTGAGGAAGCTAAGCCAGCCTGCTGGAGCACGAGGAAGAGAAGAACCAAGGTGTCCTGGCAGACACATCCTCAGTGAACTGCCACATAGGTGAGTGAGGCCATTAGGACACAGCCAGCCACCAGCTGACTGCAAACGCTCGCATGAGCCCAGCCAACAGCCTGTGGAGCAGACAAGCCGTCCCAGTTGAATCTTGCACACAGACGGATAAGCACATCAGTGGCTATTGTCCCAAGCCAGTACATTCTGGAGTCATCTGTTACACAGCAAGAGATAACTGATACACTTGGAATACAAGTTTTTCCAAGGCTCCACATGATGTAGTCTCTACCTCTCGGGCAACTTCAACCATGCTTCCCATCACTAATTCAACTCAAGCCACAGAGACAACTGCTGTCCCTCCAACATACAAGCCCATTTCTGTCTCAGGGCCTTTTCACATGACTCCCTTCCCTAATTTAAGTATTGGCTCAAATGCCACCTGCTAAAGAAGTCTTCCCTACTCCTGGTGGCCCTCATCCCATCTCTCTCTGTCACTAACCCTATTTTATTTTTCTTCATGGCTCTACTGCCACCTAAAAATATGTATTTCCATTCAGCTGTTTTCTTGGTTGCTTTGTTACTGCTACTAGACTATGAGATCCCCAAGCAGAGGGTTTTTTTTTCAATCTGCTTTGCTCATTGCTGCAGTCCAGTATTGGGAACAGTGCCTAGCACGAGAAGACCCTCAGTAAATCTATTGATGGAATGCAGTCACAGACCTCTCCTGCCTCTGAACTCTACCCACTAACACTCTGCACCTGACCCAGGCCCACTGGCATCATGCACTTTAACTTCATAGGCCTCCTCAGAGTGCAGTACCACGGCTATGTCAGTGCCCGTCAAATGACTGGTCCAAGCCAGCTTTCCCCACCTTCGGCATAAACACCACCTGTGGCACCTTTCAACATTCCCTGCCTGGGTCCAACCCCGAGAGCCTAGGTCAGCTCTGGGGTGGGATCCCAGATTCTGAAGTTTTAAAAGCAGCCCCAATGAAACAGGTGAGCCACAGACCCCAACTGGAGAAAGGCTAACTGTGGTTGCCAGTATTTGTCTGCATGCCGCTGTGCGGGTGTCCTGAGCACCTGTGTGCTGCAGCTTCCCACCTGAACCAGGAGCCTGAGCACGAGGGAGCATGTTGCCAAGGTTTCCGCATTTTAACAGAAATATATCATCATGACTTCAAATTTACAAAGGCCTTTTCATATTCAATATCTTCTTGAATTTTTGATATTTACCCACTTGGAAAGATGGGGAGGTAAATGGAAGAAGTAGGATGCAAAACTGTGGATATGTGTGTATAAAAGTTTACCTCATATAACCCTTTAAACTATCACAAAGGTCTGGAACAAGCACCATGTAAAGAAAAAAAGCAAATACACAAATTTCATGCCTACAGCAAGGGTATACGGGTCTTTATTATATGCACTTTCAGTCATATTTACTGCTTTTTCCCCTCTTATTTCTTAAGTAGTGTGTTCATTGTAGAAATTTAAGAAGTATAACAAATAAAATCATAACAACTATAACTTTGCCAATCATCACCTTCCCAAAAAAGAAGAAAAATCCTTTTTATCTATTTCATGTGACTTTTCTGACCATCTTGTAGGGTAGGTGTGGGTCATCAGCCCCCATCTCATAGATGAGGAGACTGAGCGCTAGCAAGGTGGGTGACTTGCTACCCACGGTCACTCCATGCCCTAAGGAAAGAGTGGGACCTGGGTCTCTATGTTCCCATCCATTGCTCTTTCCTGGGTAGCCAGAGGACCATTTTTCTGTGAGTGCTGTCAACCCAGCCTCTGTGCCTGGCTCTCCACTGTCCACTCCAACATCATCTCTCAGTAGCTGCCCGACTCCCAAGCATACAGGGCCCAGAGCTGAGAGGGCCTCAGGTGAGCACCAGCAGGCCTCTGGCCATCACACCCAGGGCCCAAGGCCTCCTGGGACCTAACTCCCCTCCACCTCGCATCGACCTTCAGGCCAAAGGTGCTCACTGGCCACGGTGATGTTGACCTCCTGTTGCCGCTGACCAGCCAGGTTGGCCGCACGGCAGGTGTAGACACCAGCATCACTCTCAGCAGTACTGGCAAACACCAGCTCATGGCCCCTCTGAAAGACCCTGCCTTGGGCAGGCAGCCGGACTCCTGCGTGCTCCCACCACACACTGGGCTCTGGCAGACCCTGGGGGGGTGAGCAGGCCACACGCTCCTCGCTGCCAGCTGTGAATACCCGTGGCTCAAAAGGTGGCATGTCCTCAATCTCTGCAGGGATGAGAGCAGGAGGCAAAGAGCAGGATTACTGCAGGTTTCAGGGTACCTGATGTTCTCCCACACAACCTTGGGCCGTTTCCAGCACAAACTCTCCCCCAAAGGCTCTGCATCTCCTCTTCCCACCCCTAGCATCCTCTTCCTCCCTCTGCCCTCCAAGCAGCTTTCTGAGTGGAATCAGGAGTCTAAATCTCTATGTGCCACATTGAAGGCAACCCCCACCTCAGCATCCCAGACTGAGGGACCCACCTGCCAAGTGAAGTGTGGCCTCGAGGATGATGGGAGGGCCCCTCTGCCCCTGGCCTATGCAGCGGTAGACCCCGGCATTGCGCGGCCGGACTTGGGTCAGCAGTAGGGACCCATTGGCAAACACCGTGGCTCTGCGGAGGTGTGGGGGACTGTGGGGGGGAAAGAGTGCTATTTGCAAGAAGTGGCCCACAGGCCTCATTCGGGAGGGGAATGGGATGGAAACCTGTCCCACAAGGTTCAGAGAGATAGGAAAGAGTTGGCCAGGAGCAGGGCAGAGAGAAGGAAGCCAACACATCATGCTGGTGTGTGTGTACGCTTGTGTGTGTGTGCACGTGCATGCATGTACTCATTCATGTGCATGTGCGGGTGTGTGCTCCAACTACAAGAGACTCAGCTCTTGGGGCGGAAGGCAAGCAGCAGTGTGAGTAATCAACAGTGTGCATCTGTGGAGACAGCAGGCCACCTTCGCACAGGGTCGAGGGAAGCCTGCTGGTGAGGCACCCAGCTCCAGCAAGCAGAAGCCCCTTGGCCACAGCACATCAGCTACCAGTGATGTCCTCTGGGCTGAAGCCAGATGGGATCCAAGCCCTAGCCTAGGGAGACACACCCCCAGGGACCATGGCCACACCTGGCACTGCAAAGGTGCTCTCTGCTCTCAGGACCTGGGTGAGGACAGAAGTCCCTATAAAGGGGCTAGCACTCCCAGTACGCTTCCTCCATAAAGTATGCGTGTGTGTGTGTGTGTGTGTGTGTGTGTGTGTGTGTGTGTGTGTGTGTGTGTGTGTGGTGTCTTTACCATCCATGACCTTCCTATCTAGACTGTGATCACCCAGGCCCTTCCATCCCTGGGTCTCTAACCCCCATTCCAGAAGACCTATGTAGGCAGGAGAGGACGGGGGAGAGAACAGAGACGCCACTAGTCCACACAGTGGCTTTGTGAGAATGGAAAAAGATGCCCTTCTAGAGAGACTTCCCTTTGCTGGACTCAATTTTTTAACAGCAAGGCATTCTACTGCCATCTGCTGGAACCTTGCAGTAATACATGTACAGTCTATGATATCTAGGATATTAATCACATTCTTTTAGAAAAGGCATGTGTGCAATACACAACCTGCAGCACTGTACTTGAAGGCCCCCTGTCAGATGCCTTACCGGCTGCGGTTAGTGATGGGGGTCTCATCCTCAAAGACCCACTGCAGGTTTGGGGATGGATGAGCTGAGAACTGACAGTGGAACATGGCCTCCTCGTTCCTTGCCACTACCAAGTCCTGGGGTGCCAGCACCACCCTGGCAAAGCTCTCATCTGGAGATAGGTAAGTAAGGGCATGTGAGCAGGCAGAGTGAAGGGGCCCCTCCCATCCTGGTCCCCCTTCTCCATCCCCACCCTAGGCTTACCAGCAATGCTCAAAGTGAAGTTCTGGCTGCTGCAGGCCTGGCCAAAGGCATTGTGGGCACAGCAGGAGTAGAGGCCACTATGCTCGGGGCTGGCCAGCCGGAGTATCAGGTTCCGCTCTTTGCTGCTGACTGTGTGGTTGCTCTGAATGTCAGAGAGGGGGCTCCCATCTCGAAACCACTGATAGGTGGGCCTACAGGGCCAAGAGGGTCAGCAAGCAGGGGTCGAAGGCACTCAGGTGGCCAGTGGACAGTATACAGAATCAGAGGGTCAGGACTAGACCCCTTAGTTTACAAATGGGGAAACTGAGGCCTCAAGAGGGGAAGTGACTTGCACAAAGGCACACAACAATTCAGGGGCAGAATAAGGTTGAGATTCTTCAACCCTCAGCTCCCAGAATCCAGGATCACTCTGAGGCACAATGCTGCCCCTCCTCAGGTCACCAGGGGCTGGCACGGAGCAGCACATATGCAGGATGGTTAAAGAATGAAGTGAGGTGCATCTGAATAGAGTCCAGGATCTGGGGAGACACCCTACCTGTCTAGAACAGCCCTCTCCATCCCCACCCTCAAAGTCAGCTCCTTACCGAGGGTGCCCATCAATGTGACAACGCAGTGTGACCGGGGTCTGTGGCTGGATCTCGGCCTCTGAGGCTGGATGCTTCAGGACCACAGGGCCGGTCTCAATCCCTGTAGCAGAGGTCACGGTTGCAGAGTGAGGGGCAGAGCAGAGCAAGGGCAGGAGGGCAGAAGGGAAGCAGTACAAGCAGGAAATAATGCAACTTGGGGGCTCTGGCGCCAAGGGACAGTGCAGGGAAGCCACATGAAGCTGAAGCCGGGGTGGCAGACGAGGGAACCAGAGGCAGAATGCCCACCCAGTCTCTGGCAGGTCAACCCTGACACTTGGCCACGTTGCCTCACTGCCCTTGTCATTTGCAAAAGCATCCAGCAGATAAACGGGTCCGGCATTTTATCCAGCAGATAAAAAGATTTGCAGGAAAAAGAAAAACCTTTTGGAAAAAACTTTTAACTTCGTATCCACACAAACACAGAGAGCTGACCGTAACTGCATTCTGCCTACCCCATTCAACAGGAAATGGGAGAGGCGGAGGGAAAGCAGGGGTCCTGCAGGGCTCGGGAGTTGGGGGGTCTAGCAGACGGCAGGTACAGCCCCCCGGCTCTCACATTTGATGTTGAAGGAGGCGTTGGCACTGCGAGCCTCCTCTCCAGTGGCACCATCCCGGGCCACACACTGGAAGGCTCCAGAGTCCTGCAGCCGGTCCACAGCTGCAAAGGTCAGGCTGCTGCCTTGGGAGAAACGCCGCTCAGTGTCCTGGACAGGAGCCCCATCCAGCAGCCAGTACACGCGTACCGGGCCTGGAGCCTCAACCTCACAGCGGAGCAGCGCCCGGCGCCCCTGCAGCGCATCCTGGGAGGACGGCTCCTTAATGAAGACAATGGCTGACTGGGCACCTGCAGATGGGGACACAGGAAAGGCATGGTCAGGAGGAGCTGCAGCCACTGTCCTAACACAGGTCAACCATCACCCTGTGTGCAGGAGGAGGAAAGGGGCTGTACACAGGTGTCCAATAAGTGCAGGTGAGAAGGATCATGATCATGAGAACACATGACCTGTGGGGAGTCTGTACCAAGTGCCCACTGAGGAACTTGTAAACGATGCTGGGTGCTGTTCAGGATACAGAGACACTGCACCCTCCCGGACGTCAATCTGGAGGGGAGCACAGGACAGTACTTTGGACATATCAAGGCTCATGCCACATGAAGAGTGTGGCCAGTCAGTGACTCTTAAGACACAGAAGCGCTGGGGTGGGGGTCAGTGGCACTGCGGAGGCTCTCTAGAGGGAGAAGGCCTCGGAACTGCAGGACCAGATTATAGATCTTGATGTTGGGCTAAGGAGCAGGGGACATTAGCAGGCAACCTTCCCCACCATCTTCAGAATCCAGGATGTCGAGCAAAGTGTAATCATGACCTGAAGAGCACTTCGGAAGGATTACTCACACTCACACACCCACTGAAGGTCCAGCATCAGAGGTGGCTCTAAATCCCACTCACAGATGCTCTGCAGCCCAGTGTCCCCAGGGGTTTCTTTGGGAGAACCCACCCAATCACAGGAGAAGCCAATATTCTCTAGAACTGGGGCCATTGTCAAAGACATGCCAGGGCAACCCCACATCCTACCTCCATCCCTAAGAATTCATCTGTGAGCAAGGATGGCTTTTCTGTGCTAAGTTGAGAGGTAAGCCAAGTGGTTCAGATTTTCCCTGAATCCATTCTCATTCCTGCACTGCTGCAGCTCAGCTCTGGCCAGGGCCCGGGGAGGTCACTGCAACCAAAGGTGGAACCATAGCCAGCAGGAACAAAGGGAACTGTGAGGAGCCTGTGCTGAGCAGCAGATGGGTTGGTCGGTGGGGAGGGCAGGGCCTGCCAGGTGGCACTGTTACAGCAGGAGTAACACACTAGGCTTTGTTCCTGGCCCACATGGGTGTCCTGCACAGGCCCTGAGTCGCTGGGCCTGGAACACAGCTGTCTGCCCAGGGTGGGTGACAGCACGGAAGAGGACGTGCCACCCCTCCAGGAAGAAGATGCCACCTGGGGCTGCTACATGAAGCAGGCTCTGCCTCTGGCCAAACTAGGCTTGGCAAGGGCAGGAAGGACGAGGCTAACAATGTCTTGCCCTCCCCTCCCAAACTACTGGAATCTAATCTTGGCCCAAAGAGAGTCCTTCCAAGTCCCTGGAGGCGGAGGTTGGTTTGTTAGGACACAAGAACCAGTCTCCTCTTAAAGTCAGTGTCAAGAAAAGTCCAGGACCTCCCAGGGCTGGGTCCAGATGAGGGGCTGCCCCTGGAGTTGTTCCATCTTCCAGCAGTCTCAGAGGTGCCAGCCCATAAGACAGTCTTGGAGTTGGAAGTGGCCCAGAGGACCCACACTACCTCTCAGCGAGTGGCTCTCTCCACGGGACAGTTCTCCCCTATGCTGGGCTACCCCACCCACCATGGAAGTTAACAGATCTTCCCTCCAGCACTGCTGAGCATCCCCAGTCACCCTGATGACCCAAACATCTCGCGCTCGCTTCCAATCTCCACAGAGGAGTGTGGTCCTGTCCCCGCTGGGCAACAGGGATGGATGGATGCAGAGGGGTGAACTGAGGTCCAGAGAAATGAAGGGATTTGCTCAGAATCAAACAGTTAATTTGCGTAAGACCAGGCCCATGCGCCAAGGATGTCGACCCCGAGCCCTACACTCTACCCAGTCCTGCCCAGGAACTCAAAATCAAGCCTGAAGTGCCTGATCCCACAATGGCTCTCACTCCTGAGGCCAAGTAGAGAGGTAGACACGCCTCTTGCAGACAATGCCAGGCACACACAGGCGCTGGGCGAACGCTGGCTCAACTGAGGTAACCTCAGAGAGGAAGCCTGGGTCAAGAGCTGGTGAGCATGGAGGCTTCTGGAACACCTCCCAACCACCTCTCATGACACAGATGGACAGACACAGGCTGAGGCCCTGTGAGGCCTCACCAAGATCTTGGAACGCTTGGCCCAGAGCTCCACGATGTGTGTTAAGAAAGGTCACCTACCATCAAAGTGCAGGTGACCACCACTTCCTCATTCACTGTCTCCAGACACAGTGGGGAGCTGGGAGCCCCAGCCAGGCAGGAGGCCTTAGTTCAGGGTGTGGAATCAGGCTGATCCAGCTCAAATCCTGACTGTCACACTCTGTGTCTGAGCCGAGGCGAGGAATGTGGACTGTGTGTGCCTCAGCCCCCCATTATTACCCTTCCTGCCCAAGGATCCATGTTCTGTGGACATTAGAAAGCTCCCCCCTTGCAAGGCCCAGAACCACTTGCAGTCCCTAGATGGGGACGAGCGACCACAGCAGATAGGTTTGAGGGGGACAGTCAGGTGGGGGGTGGGATGGAGGGGAAGGGGCTGTGGGGCTACAGGAGCCGCAGACCACTGGCTACGGAAACCTGAGCTGGGAGAAGAGCAGTGTGACTCAGAGGGACCCCAGCTCAGCCGGCAGCGTCCTCTCCTGGGGCCAAGGCTGCTCCGGGGCTGTGGTGAGAGATACCGCATTCCCAGACTGCCACTCAGAGCCTTCTGCGCCCCCACGACAGGGCCTGGGAAACATCAAAGCCACCCTGCGGGGCCCTCTGTCCTGACGTCAGCTCACAGCAGGTCCTGGTTAGTGCTTGGCTGGGGCAGACTTTAGATGTTACAAAACACAGGGAGAAGAGCCCACAGACTTTCTCCAAGGCCCAAGCCCCACTCTGAGCGCTCCCAGCAGGCTGTCCTGGTGCTGTGGCACCCACGTTTGCTGAGGTGTGCCCCATCTGGCCATCTGCACGGTTTGCGGGACAGGCAGAAATGCTGAGACTCCAGAAAAGGAGAGGCTGGGAGGTGAGGAACACTTCAGAAGCTTTGGCTGACACCAACTATCAGAAATGGAGGACAGCAATGACAGAGAAAGAGAAAGGCTTTTAGGGGTGGAAGGGGCACCTGCCTCAAGGCAGTAAGGTCACCAGCACATTCGTGTCCAGGTACCACCTCCGACTTGAGGATGCCAGCAGGGCTGAGGTCTGGGGAAGACCTTCCCCATGGCACACTGGTTCTGGACTTCTCAAAGTTGCCCCCTCTTTCATGATCCAACCACACCGTGCATCATACCTTCTACACACAGGCCCTCGTGGCCCATGTGGCCATGTGCCCGTACAGGCAGGCTGCTCAGTAGAAGCTTCAATGCTGCCCATCAGCCCTGCCCCAGCCCTCCCTAGCTATACCACCCTGGCCTGGCTTTTCTACACCCCTTTCCTTGCAGTGAAATGGGGACTCTGCCCCTAACACTCAGGCAGCATGAGGCTAAGTGGGTTCATGTATACAAAGCCCAGAGCACAGCAGGGAGTCGGCAGAGGGTAGAGGGCTGCCCGCTTACACAGGGGGCTCAAAAGACCCCTCCACAACCACAGGCAAGCACAGCCATCTGCCCGCAGCAGGTGCCAATCCCAAAAAGCTGGAGCTGCAAATGCCCAATAAGGACATTTTCCAAGCCATCTCCTCAGCTCCCCAAAACCATCTACATGCAGACACTCACTATGCCTACACTCTGGCCCCAGCCCCACTGAGAGAGGGCTGTGTGGGCAGCGGCCCAGCTCTACTCCCCGCCCCCAGCAGGCGTCTGGTCTGGTGCCCGTGCTCCTTGCTGCTCTCTGGGCTCCAGGCCCAGTCGACCCATGTGTGTATTCCTGTGCATGTGTGCACACACATACATGTAAACATGATTTTATGGAGAGCAGAGAGCAGCAGGAAGTCCTCCTGCTCTGAATTAATTTCAGCTACTTTCATCCTAGTATCCATCTGGGCCACTCAGCTGCCCATCTCACAGGGGCCAGTCCGGCTGGTTTAGGAAAAACACCCCCAGGACCTGTATAGGCATTTGGCATGGCTGTGTGGGAGCCCCTGAGATCTCTCAAGCCCAAGGCAACCCAGCCACAGAGAGGTGACTGACTCCTCCACACCTAAGACTCAGTCCCCGGCTCCTGGGACCAGGAGCCCACGGGGAACATTCTGACTCCCAGGGCCCCCGGCAGCCCAGGCAGAGGTGGCTCCCATCAGGGCTTAAAACCCCCAAGGGAGAGGTCTGCCGACCTCCTGTGCCCTGTGTGGGGTGAAAGCATCAGGGCACAGGCCAGGAGAGGCAGCCCCCAACCTAAGAGGCACACAAATGGTCCAGGAAACAAAGCACCCCCCAAGTCCCCTCCCCCCAACAGGGACAGCCCTCCACACTAGTCCTCCACCCGGAAACTCTAAAGGCCCCCAGTGGGAGGCCCCAGCAGTACCAGGGTCTCTGCCTCCTCCCCAAGGGGTTGCCACACTGTACCACAGACCCTTGGCCTTCAGGGATTTAACTGGCACACTTTCGGCTGCTCTTAAGCCACTCCAAAGAGCCATGACCCACACATACTTGTAGCTTTTGTGAGGAACAAATCTCAGTAGCTGCAGGAATAAGGTACCTGGATAAACAGCAAGCCCAGTCGTGTCTCCCCCGACCCCATTCACCCAGGTAGGCCAAAACATCAAATGCTGCAGTAGCGTTTGGGAGTCTGGAGATCCAGAGCATCCCTCTCTACCCCCAATAAATCACCAGTGTACTGTATGTGGTTTTAGTACCAGCAACCCAAACCGTGCGATGATATGCCCAGAACATCAGGATTCGGAGGGTCGCTGAAAATCAACCTGACTCTGAGACCCAGAGGCAGAGCACAGAGTTCTACCCCGTCCTGTCTTCCAAGGGTCTTTGAAAGGTCCGAGGTTCACTGACAGGAAAGAAACCCACGGCCCTCCATAAGCCATCAAAGCCCTTGTTGGGGGCAGTGCAGGAGGGAGCACAGCCAGGGAGCTGGCTGAGTCTTCCTGTCCTGGGACTTAACTATAAATATCTGGAGAGGTTCCCACAT